AATTATTATCCATAAACTGTAGCCTCTTTGGATATACGTTAGATAGTAAAATATTGTTAAACAAAATGTTTACTTTTACCACATGGTTCTAATATTAATAATAATAATAATCACGTAAATAGTGATAGTTACATAAAAATAAATAAGATATGAACTTTTGTGCTTTCTCATTTACGTAAGGATTATTAATAATAGTGGAACTAGTCCATGAATTCACCTAATCATTCAAATGGTATTCATGTTATGCTCAGTTCTTTAAATTTTTTAAGTTCCTTAAGCTGTGTATTGCAAGACTTAAATATTGTTGTCTATTTCATAGCTCCTTTTTCTTCATAATTCTTTCTAGAATTTCCCCAGTAGTAGTTCATTTCACTTCAATATTCTTCAATTTAAACCACAAATAAGGCACAAATGTTAAGGGTTTTATAAGTGGAATTACTCTAGTACAAATGTTCCAAACATTTTTTAATCTGAGAAAATAGCTGTTCATTTGTGCCTGTGTCATTACTACTAACATATTTTTCACAATATTACTGTATTGCTTCAAATTCTTAAGAAGAAATTTCTTATTTTTATCCGGGTATACCTATGCTGTGACTTGTTTTCAACATTTCACTGCTTTAATAAATCCCTTTACCAAACCTACAAAATGAATTCCCTATACAACCTGTTTCTCCAATTAAGTATTTTCTATAGTGTGGCCACTACAGCCTAGGTAAAATGCTTCTCTTTTTACGACTTTGTAAGATTAAAATACACCCAGACTTCTGCACCAAATCAGAGACCAAATGTAGACCATAGACAATTCTCCATTGCAGTGCTTCAATTTACAGCTTGTCCAGCACGTTACTCGTTATTATTTAGATTTATTTATTATCAATTTAATTAAACTTTATAAAACATATATTCTTTGATATAGGTAAACAAAATTTCAACTCAAATCAGCAAAAAAATATAGAGGCAATTAATAGCTTACCTTATAGCATATAACAACCTCTTGTTGTCTATTTAAATCGTTACATCTACAAACAAACAAAATATGTTCAACCACTGTTCAATAAACGATTAAATTTTAATATATTCACCATTATTAATATGATTATTCCCGTAATTTCAAACTTATTTTGCGTTGATTACTGGATACTCGGCGAGCAAAGTCAAAAATTTACGTCATTTGTCAAAACAAAAGCATTGATAAAATGTCAAATCAAAAATCGACTGTATAAAATATACCGGCCTCAATACAGGATGGTAAGTCATCATAAGAAAATTAAATTGGAAATAATGCTAAAAAATACAAACATTTTCATATTATTACAACAAACCACTTTGTCTAGTTAAAACTATAATTGCTGAAAAACTTCAATTTTTTATGAGACCCAAAGTATTTCAAAATCAGTAATCGTCATCAATCAAACTTGGATCAAGAGAGAAAAATGTTAAAACGAATACAAAGTTTCGCTTTCAGCATTGTAATAGTCGATCTATTTCTGTCCTCGCTCCATAACTGATTGATGATGCTGAAAACTCTTTCCAGTTAAGCATTACTACAAGAAACAGATAAAACTATCTAGTTTTCTCAAATCTGGAACTTCCATTCGCTTGAAAAAGATACACTATTTCTGCGCAACCGAAAATCCGGATTATTGAAAGACTGAAATGTCTTTTGGAGCAAGGACCATTTTTTATTAAGACGATCACTAATTCATCATTATCATTTTCAGCATATTCCATGATGGAGCCTCTCTTACATAGTCATTCTTCATTTCTGTCCACAATTGCTTACTATTCGCTTTTCTGTGACGGTGTATTTTCAAAAAATTTTACTTCAGCTTTAAAGTCTTAAGTAACTGCTTAAGTCCCTATGTACAGTTTGTCTCCTTCCTTGCTTGGTCAAAGCTTTTATTACTGCATTAGGATATACAGAGTGACCCAAAAGTCTGGAAACGGCTAATTATCTCGTAAAATGCTAATCATAATTGTACAAAATTTGAGGTACACCTATTTCGGGATACGGAGATTCCATATTTGATATTTACAATGTTGCCAGATTTGCCGTTTTTCTTATATTATTAGTAACTTTGGTTTTTCAAATACATCACCCTGTATATTCAGTCATTATTGGAATCTCCTATTCAATACGAGTTCAACCATATGTAACACTTATGATTTTATGTAATCTGAAAGGTTATAAATACATAAAACCGAAGTCTGGCAACGCCTAAATTGTTTCAATAAATTTTTTAATACTAACTATTTTCAAATACATTAAAACGTAACAATTGATAGTTTAGAACATTTTTTAACATAGTAGTTACGTTATTAAGTGTTCAAAATGTGCTCAATTTGTGAGTTGACAGCACCCTAATCGATGGTAGAAGGCGTCTACCACATTTCTCCATGATTGTCTAGAAATTATTCGAGATTCATTGATAATTCGTTGCCTTAGCTCTGCAAGACTTGCTGGTTAAGTTTTGTAAACTGAATTTTTCAAGTATCCCTAATAAAAATAATCTTTAGGATTGAAATCGGGTGAACGTGGAGGCCATTCAATTCTACCTTGTCTACCAATTTATCGTCCAGGAAATATCTCATCTAAATATCGCCGAACATTTACACCAACTATCTGACGTTAAATTTCTTTCGACAAAAAATGACCCAATTGAATAAGTAACTACTATATCTGACCATACATTTAATTTTTGTGGTCTTTGAGTATGGTTTTCACGCATTCAGTCTTCAGTGTGAATTTACGTCACACCAGTACCTTAAAATTGTGTCGATTTACACTTCCACACAGTGTAAAAGTTGCTTCATCGGAAAAACATATTCTGTTAACGAAATTTTAATAATTTTCAATTTTATCCATCATTACCTCAGTAAACTCTAATCTACGACCAAAGTCATCTTCACTTAATTCTTGCAATAAGTTAATTTTGTATGATTTAAATTTATTTTTACGTAATAAACGTAAGACTGAAGAATGACCTACATCATGTACTTGTGCAACCTGCCTGGGGATGTATGTGGATCTTCAACAAAACTTTGCTTATATCTGAAGTTTTGTTGTCATTGATAACTCGTTTCGGTCAACCTGATCGGTATCTATCTTTTACTTCTCCAGATTCCTCAAATCGCCTTACAGTTTTTTGTACCGTCGTCTTATGAATAGGAGAACGGTTTAGAGAACGGCATTTTAGAGAAGCAATTTAAATTGCAGAACTTTTTGAACCACAACTACTGTCAATTTTAGTTCATAATTTAAATGGTGAACAAATGTCAAAATCACAGCATTCGCCATTTAAATATTTAAATTTATTAAAATCTACATATTTTGCACTGTTTTATGTATTTAAGATCTTTCAGACTACATAAAATCAAGTGAACATATGGTTGAACTCGTATTGAATAGCTGAACTCGTGTGAAATTCACACTGAATGCGTGAAAACCATACTCAAAGACCACAAAAATTAAATGTATGGTCAGTTATAGTAGGTACTTATTTAATTGGGCCATTTTTTATCGAAAGAAAATTAACGTCAGATAGTTTGTGTAAATGTTTCGGCGTTATTTAGATGAGATATTTCCCGGACGATAAATTGGTAGACAAGGTAGAATTGAATGGCCTCCACGTTCACCCGATCTCAATCCTAAAGATATTATTTTTATTAGAGATACTTGAAAAATTCAGTTTACAAAACTTAACCAGCAAGTCTTGCATAGCTAAGGCAATGAATTATCGATGAATCTCGAATAATTTCTAGACAATCATGGAGAAATGTGGTAGACGCATTCTACCATCGATTAGAGTGCTGTCAACTCACAAATCGAGCACATTTTGAACACTTAATAACGTAACTATTATGTTAAAAAATATTCTAAACTATCAATTGTTACGTTTTAATGTATTTGAAAATAGTTAGTATTAAAAAATGTATTGAAACAATTTAGGCGTTGCCAGACTTCTGTTTTATGTATTTATGACCTTCCAGACTACATAAAATCATAAGTGTTACATATGGTTGAACTCGTATTTAATAGGAGATTCCAATAATGACTGAATATACAGGGTGATGCATTCGAAAAACCAAAGTTACTAGTAATATAAGAGAAACTGACAATCTGGCAACATTGCAAATACCAAATATGGAATTTCCGTATCCCAAAATGGGCGTATCTCAAATTTTAATTATGTCTAGTAATTTACGAGATAATTAGCCGTTTCCAGACTTTTGGGCCACTCTGTATAGAATCTAAAGCCTTCTCGAAATTTATGGAGGTTAATGCTAGAGGTATTTCATATTCTTTAGCTCTACTCATTAGTTCTAGAAGCGTATGAATATGAACCAGAGTACCTACTGAATCTATATTTCTCCTCTGGTTATGCAGCACCTAATGCGTTTGTTAATGATCTTTGTGAAACGATTGGTAGTAGACTTATAGGTTCTAATAGTTTTTGATATCCTCTTTGCTTCCTTTCTTATGAATGATAATTATGTTTGCTGTATTCCAGCGGTCTGATATGCATCTTGATCTTAGGCAGTTCTCAAATATGCCTAGAAGATTTTCCAGGTTTTTTTGTCAGCGTATTTAAAGAGTTCCAATGTTATACGGACTTGGAATTTTACGGAAATCGTGATAAACCGTTGTTTACCCTTAAAAACCCACCCGTTTCTAATTTCCGACCTAAGATATTTTATCCTTTTACCTCGATATACTATCGTTGAACTAGGCTTTCTGTCTGTGAGTCACCTTGAACGACGTTTTATTTTTTCCAGCTTTTGTTGCCAAGGAAATTTATAGAAGCTTTTTTACAGTTAAACATTTGAACGAAGTTATATTCCATACGTAATGGCTATTCCGTAATCGAAGAGTCTTTTAAACGATTAAAAAAATTCGATATTTTATTTTTATTTGGATTTAAGTAAATTTGATTTAAATTTAAATACAACTAAAACACAAATTCTTACTTTACTTCTTTATTTAAACACAAATATAACGCAAAATCAAGAAACTAACTCTACAATACAATAAAAGTCTAATAAAAAAATAAATTATTTTATCTTAAAGTTGGGGACATCTATTTGAAGTTAATATGTAGTTAAATACCCACAAGGATCGTAAATTATCCTTTTTTAACTAAAAAATAAAACATGTATTAAATACATTCAATCTGTGATTTAACTGTTAAACATAAAAAATATTCTCAATAGGTTGATGGGGGGGCAACTGGAGGGAGTGTCTGGGCCATATCTTTTTCATGCTTAAACTGTAAATGTATTTAAGTTTTTTGCTGTTAACTGTACTGCAAGAATGTACCTTCCCTCCAAAATATTAATTCTAACCTTAATTCCTTCATATTACTTTTGGTTGCTGTGAGAAGTCTAATTTAAATTTGTAGTTATTTTTTATGAAATCAACGTGGAGTGTTGTGATTCACATTATTGTTTTGATTATCAAGGTGTTTTTACCATGTATTTTAGTGTAAAAGTGTTGATTAATATTCTATTAACAATGTTTAAATTAGTTTTCCATGCTTATTTTATTAGTTTTGAGGTTAGAATGGGTAGTCCAGTTACCCCGAGATCTTTTGCTCTTTCGGAGTAACTGGGCCAGGGCCTGGTCGTGTTACTCCTCAGAACCTCAAGACCTAATTTTTTCCATTCTTTACTTTTTCAAGGCCTAGGTAATATCAGATTGTTTTTGTTTCAGAAAATGGTATAAACGTACATAAGAAAAACGCAGAAAGGTGCTGGCTCCTCATATATCACGGAAGGCATTGATAGGGCAATTGAGGATATTAGAAATGGCATTAAGACGACACTGGGTGCATAATTATTTTACAATATTCCACGATTTACACTGAAGCATCGAGTCAAAGGATTCTTGAGGAAAAAAAATTGCAGATTGCATAAAAATTATGGACAAAAATGGGTTTGGTCTATCCAAAGAGGAACTATTAGACTTAGTACAATTGTATATAAGACAGAATAATATCAAGAGTAGATTTAAAGACCAAAGACCAGGCCCTGACTGGTTTAGATCATTTAAAACTAGGCATCATCTGTTAATAAAGAAACCTATGAGTATCGAACATGTTAGATGCGATCAGGTGAACTCTTGGGTCATCTATAATTTTTTGAAGTATTAAAAATACTGTGGAAGAACTAAACCCTAAGGGGAAACCGGAATAGACAGAACCAGATATTTAATTGCGACGAGACGTCATTTTGCCATAACCCTAGTAAAACAAAGGTCGTTGGTGCAATTGGTAAAAAAACCATACCGAAGATAAGTTCGTCTTTGGCCAAGAAAACACATCTGTTTTGTTGTGTTGTTCTGCTAATGGTTAAACGATACCTCTTCTCTGTGTATTTACAGGTAAATACGTAATGGATAATTGGATTAATGAGAATTCAACATCCCAAACTGCAGTTTCTACAACGTCTCGAGCTTGAATGGAATTTTTCAATTGGTTTAGAGATGTTTTTACCTAATATTACAAGGGAGAGACCAGTTTTATCAATTTATGATGACCATGCTACCCAATGACGTATAATATATAGACTCGGTGAACGCTTTAAAAAGTGTCCAAAACATGAATACCTTTGTTATTGTTTATTGTTTTGATACGAAGATGCACGAAGTTGATGATTTCTTACGAAGCATCACGAAGTTGATCTTGTGGTTGAAAACATCATGGACGTATGAAAACATTTTCTCCATTTTGTGTGACAAGCAAATTTTATTTTAAATTGTTGAGAGAATAAACATACCTTCAACCTTGAGCCGAGATCTTTCGGACACTTGATTCTATAGCGAGAATAGGGGACTGCGTAGTCTATGTATTATACGTCATTGATGCTACCCATGTATCCACAGATTTGATTAAATTAGCACAAAAAAATAAAATTACTGTTATGAAGTTACCTCCACATACGACACATTTATTACAACCATTAGTTGTGTCAGTCTTTAGAGGTCTGAAAAATAGTTGGGACAAGGCACTCAGTAAGATGCAGAGGGAAAATCCTCGCAAAAAAAATCCTAAAGAAATATTTGTACAAATGATAACCAAGTCAGCACGTGAAATACCTAGTATTAATATCATTAACGGATTTAAAGCTACAGGAATTTATGATGCCGATAAACAAGGTCCTAACACAGATGTAATTCCTACATCAATATTCAAAAAATATGATTTGCTAAGTATAAAAATAATCTTTCCAATTCCACTATAGTACACTTGGAAACCACTGCTTCTTTGAAAATCTAACACTCAGTAACTATCCCTTCCTCAACCACAGTACAATCAGAAGACAGTAGGCCTGCATCTTCAGCAGCACTGTATCCAGATGCGAGTCCTGTTATAGCCACTGGAAATCAAGAAGACTACAATTCAATTGTAGGGTAACAAGCGTCCCATACTTCTTCATATACGGTACAATCAGATGTCTCCAACGCTTTAATCCCAACAAAACAGTTACTAAACAGTACAGTTACAGTAATTAATCCACTTACTTCACACATACATAATCAAATCTCAGCAAAACAATACGATTGAGAAACTGACCCAGGTGACCTTATTAAATACTAGAAATGAATTGATCGAGAGTAGAGAATTGATGTCAAGAACCGCTATTCTATGACGGTACCAGTGACACAGTGCAGTGTACCGCCGAAGTCTAGACATAGTAAAAAGAGCTTACCAATTCCCCTGAGATAATCCTAGTTCACTTTGGATCTAGACTTCTAAATTTAGTTTCTTCTATGAAGCATAGGATAATGTGATCTATCCTGGTAGCGCTCAATTCTATCAAGCTCATAAGGATCATCTCGTGGTGTTCTAAAATCTATTCTCTCATCTCGCATCCTCCTTTCCAGCGACATATTACTGGCATATCGAGGGTTATCCAAGCTTCGATTTCGCTCCAAAGAACTTCTTTCGTGATTAAGAGGACTCCTCTGGCATATGTAAGGACTTCTCTGACGATTAAACGGACTTATGTCTCGGGTTTCGCGACTAAATCGGTTTGTTTCATTTCGATTTTCAGCTGCATTCGATCTATATCCACGAGAGGATGAACTTCTATTATCTACGGTAAACTTGGAAGAGTGACTCTGCCTTGAAAATGCCTCAGCCATGGTTTGAGGTTTTTTGGTCTCAGAAACGTATCTTGCGTTCCTATGTTCATGATTTCTTCTGTCGTCACCAAAATTACATGGCAAGTCTTCATGTACTCCGCGAAATCCTTTATCAGAATAAGCAGTACCTTTAAAAGGATCTCTTATACAAACTTTGGGTTGACCTTCAATGCTAAACATCGAGTTCATTGTTTTCATTTCAGCTTCTGATAATAAAGAGCTATTCGCAGCTAACATTTCCTCCACTACAATTCTTCGCCTTGCTGCGCCAGACAGTTTGTTGCCTTGTCGATTGGGTTTCATTAAATTTCTCGATCTTGAATTTTGTCGTTGTCCAAATTTATTAATCGCAGACATTGTAACAGTATTTATTTTTATCCTCAATGCTTTTCAATAGCTTTCAGACAGTTGCCAGTGTTCCAAGGCTTGAAAAATTCTGAAAGTAATACCTTTTATTAAACAAAACTCTCTTGGGATCTTACATGCATGGTAAAATTAAACTTTTTGGTTAAAAAAAGTTTTTACTCTATAATTAGTTTTAGTAGAATATCACCATAAATGACAAATGGCAGTAAGTATAAGATGGCCCTTCTCCTTCGTTCAAGCGAGACAGGTTGATCTCTGGCACTTGGTTATAAGACATTTGTACCAAACACTGTTTTTTTTAATTAAACTCCAATAAGTCCTGCTGCAGCCTCAATCCTCAGTTGACCAGTGAATTCCCGCCTCAAATCACCCAGCACATTACAATTGCATAGGATGTCTTTTCTTTCGATTCTCATTGTCTGCACCATGCTTCATTCACCTTGTGTTTTCTTAAATGACAATGTCCAGTCATCATTTCAATCTCCTGTTTATTGAGAGGTTTTTTTTTCTTTTTTTTCTTGGTCTGGATTTGCTCTTGAGTGGCTCTCCATTTTTTTATGATTACTTATCAGCCACTTTAGAATCTCGTTTCTTGCAGAGTTCTGGGCCGGAAAACGTATCTCTCAAGCTATTTATTGAAAAAAAAAATCTGCTCGTTCATTCTCAGTATTAACTTGTATCCCCATATCTGACAGCGTAATGCTAGTGAATTTAGTTCAAAGCCATTCATTACCAATGTTATTTAGGTCTATTCCCCAACATCATCCAGTGATGAAGATAAATTAGAAGCATTTTATTAAGATCTTGCTAATGCTCTAGATCTTGTCAAAGTAGCAGAAAATACCATAGTCCTCATAGATTTTAACGCTAAACTCGGCAAAGTACGCTGTTTAAACAGTGTAGGGGATTAGGCTTGGAAAACAGAAACGAATGTGGAGATCAACTTCTCCAGTTCTGTCAAGAACACAATTTCATTATATCAAATACTCACTTTAAACTACCACCGAGAAGACTTTACACCTGGAAGTCAAATGCAGAATCAGAGGACAAAATTATTAGGAACCAAATCGACTTCATTCTAATAAAAAATCGATTTGGAAACTGCATCAAATCAGTTTAAAGTTATCCAGGCGCTGACATTGGGTCTGATCACAATCCCATTGTAGCTGTAACCCAATTAAAATTAAAAAAGGTGAACAAAAAGAAGTCTAACAAAAATATTGATATAGCCTAATTACAAGACGAGAAAGTTAAGGAATCAGTTCAAAGACAAGTGAACAAAAATTTAAATTGGGAAAATATTGGTGAAAACGTTGATGAGGGCTTAAATAAAATCGTAACAACAGTAAAAGAAGCAGACTTGGATGACAGATGACATATTGGATTTGATGGAACTGGATCTGAACATATGGAAAAGCAAAATACTCGTAATAAGTAAACAGCATATAAAACCGTCTATATATGTAAATAATACCAAACTTGAGCAAGTTGATAAAATCGTTTACCTTGGACAGCAATTAAATTGTAACGCAGAAAGTCACGGCAAAATTAGATCTAGGATAGAGCAGGCTAGAGCTGCTTTTAGAATGATGTCCAAGGTGGCATAAAGGATCCGCCTACTTCGCTGCTACATGTTCTCGGTCTTAATTTATGGTGTCTAGTCCTGGACTGTGAATAAAATCGATCTTGTGGTGCTATAGAAGAATTTTAAAAGTTTCCTGGATGGAGAAGATTCAAAACTCCACAATACTAGAATGACTCAGCAAGACTACTGAGATCATAAAAAGCATCAAGCAGAGAAAGCTGGAGTATTTCAGACATGTAATGAGAGGTCCCAAATATAGGTTACTACAAAATATCATCATGCAAGAAAAGATAGCAGGCAAATGCAGTCCAGGATGAAAAAGAACCTCATGGTCGAAGAACTTGTGAGATTGGTATGGTGTTGATACAAGCATGCTATTTAGGGTGGCAGTGCATAAAATTAAGGTAGCTATGATGGTAACCAACGTTTTGAAAGGTCATGGTACATAAAAGGAAGAAGTTCATTCCCAAAACAGCCGCCAAAAGCTATAAAAAATCAAACACTAATTGGCTAGGTCTTGGTATTCATATTTTAAAATTTGCAACATTTTTCATTGATTCCCTTGAGAAAAGAAAGAGTGTTATAGCATTGTTGGAGTATTTGGGAACAGAAATTGCCAAAAAACAATCAAAATTAAGTAATAAACTTGTATCTAAATAAAATGACAATCGTGACAATTACAAAAGTACACGAATTTGACTAGAATTGCTTCCCAACTCATATATTATTTAGATTTAGCCTCCAAGCACATCTCCAAATAATACCTCCAGTAAAAAAATCGATTTTATTAACTGATTTGAATACATGATAACCTTCTTAATGTCCTTTTGGATATAAATCCGTTAAAATGTCTAGATTGAAAAACATTTTTAAACAAAAAGTTCATTTTTACCACATGATTCTTATAATAACAATAATTAAGTAATACTAGTTTATTACACATACTAAGTTCTATTAAATAATCTGAACATCGAACTCCCTATAATCTAATAGAGAATTGAAGCCAATAGTGGATAGCCCTATTTTTCTGCAGATTTAATTATAATCGTATAAACAGTACTGTTGGATATTTATCTTTAGTGAACAGCCAGCAATTGACGGATTTGTAGTTTACTGATTTTATTTGCGTAAAAACAACTCAAATTATGTTCTCTTGCTGTCTGCTAAATTATTTCAATTTTTCCCTAATTGGTGACAGTTTGTTTTCTGACGTTTTGATATTATATTTGACATAGTTTATAGAACAGTAGCAAAGGGAAATTTTGGGTAACATGATAGAACTAAAAATTAACTAAATATCTACATTTTATACAAATAATAAATATTCGTAACAAGTACAACATATCTACATTTAGTAGCTCATTCTGTAGTTCTAACCTTTCTAGTGTAATTATTAATTATTGACTTGTTACTAATATACAAAAAATATCAATATTTCATCAAAAAAATAATAGAAGCAATAGGTTATCTCATAAACGATTTGCTGCAATCTATTTAAATCCTTACATCAACTAAAACAAACACAATAGGTTTACAAACCATTCAATAAATGATTCTATTTTAATACTCACAATTAATATTGTAATTCCAGCAAAATTTCAAAACTTTTTGTATTTTATCCTACAATGTCTTCATAGCATAACCCTCAATAAATGGCCGTATAACGAATTTAAGTAGTTCTTTATGAAACCAAGTCGTTTATACACAAGTCAAGAGACCATAAGAAAATACAAAAATATAAATCAAAATATTTGATAAAATTAAAATGAATATAGGCAAATATAGGTAATTGTTTGACATTGACAAGAGAGGACATAAATAAACTGAGAAACAAGAATATGTATATGTACCTAACTTCATTTCATAGGTTATGCATTTCTATTAACACGTTTGCTGCCACGCCATACTCGTATTTATTTATTTATGAGCTAAAAAAATCGATATTTTATTCCACATGTAAAGAAAAGTCTGCTTTATGTATGTAATTTTTTTTTAATTGATAAAATAAAAGCAAAATACAAAATAGCATAAAGATTGGATTTTAAGATCTTATAACAAAAATCTAACTTGACAATGTAAGCTAAAATCAAGTAACGGATTGTTTTACGTTGATTAAACACATAAGCAAGGCCTGTCTTGGTCACTATATAAAGCAGCGATACTCAACCTTTTTTTTCCCCGGGCCGCAATCTAGGTGAAGTAGTATAAATACATATATTTATATATATATATATATATATATATATATATATATATATATATATATATATATATATATATATATATATATATATTATTTTCAAAATACTGATTTCAAAAATGTATAATACTTGCGCAAAATTTCGGTCAAATGCTTTTTAAATGCATTAATTTTTTTAATCCTCGGAAAACTAATAAGAATTTTGGAAAAATTTAAACGCAGAATAAAATATTACAATATTACCGATGGCAAAAAGTCCCTAAAAACTTCTATAATGTTTATTTTAATAAGTTACAGGGGAGCAGGGCCGTGCCGTGCTATAATACGGCGAGGCAGTCGCATCAGGCGGCATCACATGGGGGGCGGCATAATCAGTAAAATAAAAAAAAATATCAGGCTGTGTAAAAATGTCACAAACTATAGACAAAACGAAAAGTTACAGATAATATGGCTAATGACCAAATGAAAATTTAATGCAATTGCAGAAAAGTTTATATATGTATTGCATTTCCAGCTGAAGTTTTTTCTAATTATGAGAAAACTAATAAGCATTTTTGAAAAAGTTAAACGTATAGTGAAATATTACATTATTATCGAGGGCAGAAAGTCCCTAAAAATTTCTATGTCTATTTTAATAAGTTACAGTAGTGAAAGGACAGAGAAAATTTATTGTGATTTTTAATTTCAAATATTTCATTTAAAAGAAATTTTTTATTTATTCTAAGGGAATTTAGGCTCTGGGTAATAATGAAATATTTTATTCTGCATTTAAAGTTTTCAAAAATATTAATTAGTTTTCTCAGGATTTGATAAAAAATGCATTTAAATAGCATTGGATCAAGATTTTGCGCATACCCTCTTAATAAAAATGAAAGTTAAATTTCAATCATATTTAAGAGGCGGTATACAATAATGTGATCTTTCATTCGGCGTTTAAATTTTTCAAAAATACTCATTAGTTTTCTCATGATTCGAAAAAAATGAATGCATTTAAAAAGCATCTGACCAAAATTTGCCTAAGTATGATACATTGTTGTAACCAGTATTTCAAAAGCGTTTAAATGAGATGTCACATGATGTCTGTATTTTCCAATTTAAAACAATCATAGTTACGACTACGATCAATTATTTATATCATATTTTTTTTTTTCAAAAGAGAAATATACCCAATATTATTTCTGTCATAGACGGACATCCATCTGTGCATACACATACCAACTTTTTAACGTCAATGCTATTTTTTTCCAAGAACGTACAAATAACATTAATGTAATCACTTCCTTTGGTATGACCTTTCATCGGATGAAATTTGAGAAAATCTTCACGAATTCCATAATCTTCAGTACAGTACCGTACAAAAAGGGAACATTGTGAAGTTGATGAAACATCAGTGTTTGAATCAAATGCTAAACTCCAATATTTACAATTCTTCAAGTCGTCGATGATATGATTAAAAATATGTTTCGAAATATCTTCAGTTCGCCTGACGCACGTGGAATCTGAGAGTTGTAGTTGTCTGATTTGTGATATTATCTGAGTTTTATTGCTGAACTTCTCAAATAGAATATTTGAAGCATTTATAGAGCATTCCTTTACAATCTCAGCGTCAGTAAATGGCTTCATATGTTTTCCTAATAAATAGCAAATTTCGTAGGACGCTCTCGTCACTGATACATCTTGGGACATTGAAACTGCCTTTATATTTTGCTGCTGCTGTAACGACCTTTTCAAGACGCATAGTTTTTCTCTTCGCAATGCAGAGCCGACTGGGAAACTATCGCTAAACATCTTGTGTTTTGTATTATAGTGTCTCATAATATTATACTTCTTTAATAAATACTCTCTCGACAAATCAAATAAGTTGCTGAAACGTGTTTGTTAGGTACAACAAAATATTCATCTTCCCAATTGTCTTGAAATAGTCTGTTTTCGTCAGATATTTTACGTTTTCATTTTGAGGACACGCCAGCCATTGTCACTGTTTTAAATTCCCGGCAAATCAATTATAATTAAAATTACTATAAGTAAAAGAAACACAGTTCACTTGACAAAATTTGAAAAAGACGATACGTGTGTAAACGTAAGCGCTGAATGAAATTGATATGTTCATATAATAATTGAACTGGTTCCAAATCGACATGAATTGGAAATGCAAACTAGTATAACAACGTCAACTTCGGGAAATCCCGGTTGAACACCACAGGCGCGGACCTTTTTATATTATAAATTCGACATTGTTGATTAGGAAATTTTTAATAATATTTTTATAATGAATTACAAAAATATCTAATATAATCTTATTTTTTAAATTTTAGGATTTTATAAATACATATGTAGATAAAGTCAAACATTCTTAGTTAGCCTTCGGGCCGCATAAAAAACGCCCGAGGGCCGCATGCGGCCCGCGGGCCGCAGGTTGAGTATCACTGATATAAAGCAACAGATGAAAATATTCTTTGGTGACTTTGGAATCCTTACCAGTTCCTCTGAAAAAATCCTAGTTCACTTTCAACCTTGAATTACAAAATTCGTATTTTTCTTATGAAGAATAGGTTTCATGTCGAATTTCTGTAGAGCAGTGACATCACTATGTATTATCTGTAATAGGAAACGAGAGGCCTTTTGTGGATTGTGCTTAGCTTTTAAAACACGCCAATGATTCGTTACTCGACGTGCATTTTGTTCTGCCAGTTTTTTAATAATACCCATTGGAGAACCGGAGGATATTCCCTTAGGAATCCACATCACGACTTTAATTTTTGAATCTGCCGGAATATAACCGTAATCTCCAATTTGTAGGATTTGACCAGTCTCCATCTGTAAGCGCGGGATTACAAATTTTAGCCAATCTTTAGTGTAGAGATCTTTAATCTTGAGGACAAATGATCCACCTTGGTACATACCAGATTTAAGTTTTGGGCACGGCAGTCCTTGTCGATTAATATCTTGAGCCTGTTTCCCTAATAAATACAACTTTGGCTTCATCTTTCGTAAATCGCACAAATGGAAATCCTTGGGGAACAACAATTATCTTCTCTTCATTGTTCTTTCATTTGGTCTATTTGGAGCTGGTATATCTACGTCTTCGTATATATCTCTAAAGTAATGGGATTCGTGCTTGTCTATAAGTGGGTCAATATCATCATCTTTACTATAATCCGAATTGCGGCTATCCATAAAAGAATTACTGTCACCAGCAAAATCTCTACTATATTTTAATTCAGCTTCACTGTTACTAGAAGAAGGGAGAAGATGGGATAGTCATTGAAAAAATCAAAGAAGGAGGAGTGACGTTACTAAATGTGTTGAAAAATATGTTCAATGCTTCTTTGACAAGAGGCGTAACCCCTCCCAGTGGCATAATGCAATAACCATAATACACAAAAAAGGTGACATTTCAGACCTAAAGAACTACAGACCGATTAGTTTGCTCTCCCATACATACAAACTATTCATGAAGATAATAACAAAACGGCTTGTGAACATTCTGAATAGTTACCAACCTTGTGAACAGGCTGGGTTCCGCTCCAGATACGGAACAAATAATCATCTACAAGTTATAAAAACGCTAATAGAAAAGTGTACAGAGTACAACAAGCCTATCTTTCTTATATTCGTAGATTATAAAAAGGCGTTCGATACTATAGATCATCATAACATGCTTCGAGCATTGCAGTGCGTTTTACCGGTTCTTACATATGGTACAGAAACACTGACTCTGACAAAAAGAACAATAGATAAAATAAGAGTTACACAACGCGCTATGGAAAGATCAATATTAGGTATTACCATCAGAGATAAAGTACCAAACATAGAAATAAGAAGAACAGGAGTCACAGATGCAGTTGAAAAAATAGCCATGGCTAAATGGGCTTGGGTCGGACATGTTGCCAGATTCACGGATGATAGATGGACCAGAAAGATTCTGGAATGGCGACCAAGGCACGATGCATATCGAAGCAGAAGGCGACCACCGACTAGATGGACGGATGATATCAAGCGCATCACCACAAACTGGATGCAAGAAACTCAGAATATGAATGCATCCTGATAACGCTCAATTCTATCTGGCTCATAAGGATTATCTCGTGGTGGTATAAAATCTATTCCCCCATCTACTCCCGTCCTTCTTTCCCGAGACAAATTTCTGACATCTTGAAGATTATCAGAGCTTCTATTTCGATCTAGAGAATTTCTTTCACGGTTAAGAGGACTTTCAAGCATTTCATAACTCGATAGATTTCTTTCGCTAGTGGGAGGGCTTCTTTCACGGATTGTACGTCCAAAGCTACTTCTTTCACTAGCAAAAGAGCTTCTTCTATGAGTTTCAGGATAGATATCATTTTTTAGGGAACCGAATGAACTTCTGCGAAATTCACGTTGGACTTGATTTTTTTCGCCCTCGAAAGTATTCATTTCGTAAGAAGGTATTTGTCCATACGAATTCGAAGCCCGATCATATCCCAAAGGGCTCTCTCCACTATCCATATGCGATTCCCGTCTTGAAAATGAACCGGCGATCATTTCAGGTTGCTTCGTCACAGAAAGATATCTCTCGTTGAGATCTTCTTCTTCATATCCCTCTTTTTTGTTTGTGCTTTCTTTATCATAGTTCCATGATGTTTGTCCATATACTTCAGGAAACTCTCTACCATCATGCTTTGTTTTGCGAATACGAGAAATAGCATAGTTAATATGTTTAAAAGGATCCTCAAAATGGTCAATTCTATCTGGCTCATAAGGATTATCTCGTGGTGGTATAAAATCTATTCTATCAACTACTGGCGTCATCCTTTCCCGCGACATATTTCTGATATCTTGGAGATTATTAAAGCTTCTATTTCGATCAAGAGAATTTCTTTCATGGTTAAGGGGACTTTCAAGCATTCCATAACTCGATAGATTTCTTTCGCTAGTGGGAGGGGTTCTTTCACGTATTTTACGTCCAAAGCTACTTCTTTCACTAGCAGAAGAGCTTCTTCTGTAAGCTTCAGGATAGATATCATTTCTTCCGGAATCAAATGAACTTCTTCCGCGAGTTTCACGTTGGACTTGATTTTTTTCGCCCTCGAAAGTATTCATTTCGTAAGAAGGTATTTGTCCATACGAATTCGAAGCCCGATCATATCCCAAAGGGCTCTCTCCATTATGCATATCCGATTCCTGTATTGAAAATGATCCCGCCATCGTATCAGGTTGCTTCGTCGCAGAAAGATATCTCCCGTTGAGGTCTTCTTCATATCTCGCTTTTTTGTTTGTGCTTTCTTCATCATAGTTCCATGATGTTTGTCCATATACTTCAGGAAACCCTCTATCATCATGCTTTCTTTTGCGAATACGAGAAATAGCATAGTCAGTATGTTTAAAAGGATCCTCATAATGGTCACTTCTATCTGGCTCATAAGGATTATCTCGTGGTGGTATAAAATAGATTCTCTCATCTACTGGAGGCCTCGTTTCCCGCGACATATTTCTGGTATCTTGAAGATTATCAAAGCTTCTATTTCGATCAAGAGAATTTCTTTCACGGATAAGAGGGCTTTCAAACATTTCATAACTTGATCGATTTCTTTCGCTAGTGGGAGAGCTTCCTTCACGGATTTTACGTTCAAAGCTAGTTCTTTCACTAGCAGCAGAGCTTCTTCTATGATTTTCAGGATGGATATCATTTCTTCCGGAATAGAATGGACTTCTTCCGCGAGTTTCACGATGGACTTGATTTTTTCCGCCCCCGAAAGTATTCATTTCGTAAGAAGACATCTGTCCAATAGAATTTGAAGCCCGATCATATCCCAAAGGGCTCCCTCCACTATGCATATCCGATTCCTGTCTTGAAAATGATCCGGCCATGGTTTCAGGTTGCCTCGTCGCAAAAAGGTATCTCCCGATAAGGTCTTCTTCTTCATATCTTGCTTTTGTGTTTGTGCTTTCTTCATGATAGTTCCATGATGTATGTCCATATACTTCAGGAAACTCTCTACCATAATGCTTCCTTTTGCGAATACGAGAAATAGCATAGTTAGTATGTTTAAAAGGATCCTCAAAATGGTCAAATCTACCTGGCTTATAACGATTATTTAAAAAGGATGTTCTTTCCCATGACATATTTGTGGAATCTCGGCGATTATCCGAGATTCCATTTCCCCCTAGAGAATTTCTTTCAGAGTTAAGAGGACTCCTTTCGCGAATAAAAGGACTTCTTTGAAGGTTAAACAGACTTACGTCTCGGGTCTCAAATTGATTTCTTTCATTTAGATTTTCAATTTCATTCGATCTATCTCCCCGAGAAAATGAACTTTTATTATCTACGACAAACTTAGACAAGTTAAATTCTCTTAGAAATGTTTCAGTCATGATTTCAGGTTCTTCGGTTCCAGAAACGTATCTTGCGTGGCCATCTTCAGTAGTATCTTTAAAAGGATCTCTTATACAAACTTTGGGTGGATCTTTAATATTAAACATCGAGTACATTTTTTTCGTTTCAGTTTCTGATAATAAAAAACTATTTGCTGCTAACATTTGCTCAATTACTTCTCTTCGGGTTTTTGCACCAGACAGTTTGTTGCCTTGTCGATTAGGGTACATTAAATTTCCTGACGCTGAATCTTGTCGATGTCCAAATGTATTAATCGCATCCATTTTAACTGTATTTATTTTTTATCCTCCACGCTTTTCACCAGTAAGACAGTTGTCAGTGTTCAAGGTTGAAAAATTCTGAAATTAATATCTTTTATTAAACAAAATTTTCTTGGGATCTTATATACAGCTGGTTCCTAAAAAAACGATACGACTCTTGTCCATTTGACACCGGAATTATTTTTTTTAACTTTTAACAAGTTTTTTGGTTTTTTTTTTATATAAAATAATTATTTTTAATAACAATGTACTGTATTTTTTATTTTTTTATCAGCTAACAAAGGCTATAGACTGTGTCATAAGTATTAGGACACTGGGCGTCTGTTAATAAAACATTTTCAAACATAGAACTTTATTTTGAGTGGTATAATGAGAAACAATTTTTTTTGTTGTTAAGGCATAGTCCTACATTTTAATAATAATAAAAATAATAACAACAACTATATTATGGAAAAACTATCATTTATATACTCTTTATAAAATGCAGGAATTCAAAATAATATCAAAATTTAGACCTTCATAATTATTACAATTTATAAATTAACATATGTAATCAATTGTTTGTTTATTTCATTATTTGTGTGTCATAATAAATATAGTATAATGTCAGATGGTCAGACCAATCAAATACACTGCTCACAATGATCAAATCTGACTAAGAGTCATATTAGTTTTTTTAGGAACCAGTTGTATATGAAACAATTATATTTTTTGATAAAAAATGTTTTTTTTTTTCAAATGTACTTGATAATATGAAAATGTTACTTTTACGCCTAGACTTAAAATGAAGCCCAGACTTATTTTCATGCCTAGGCAAAAAAGTGTAAAAGCCAAAAGCTTCGTAAGCCACAGTGGACTTAATAATCAACAATCCTTTGCTAAAAATCTTTGCAGTACACAAAATATCTGGAGGAATCGTAAAGTACAGCCTTGTCACAAAAACTATTATTGTTTACTCCTAATAAAACAATATAGTATTACTCTATAATTAGTTTTACTATAATACTAGCATAAATTACGAATGGCAGGAAGCCTAGAATGCCCCTTCTTATCCTTAGTTCAAGCAAGACATATTAATCTCTGACACTTAGTCTTAAGACATTTGGACCAAATCCCGTTCTTTTCCTGTTAAACTCAATAAGTCATGTCACCGCAATGAAGGCAAATAGGTACATATACAATTATATATTATAATTATCATTATACTTTTCTGAGTTAGTAAGAAAATATATGGCTGAAAATTCAAGAAACCAGTCAAATTATCTAGTGATAAAATGTTGTTGATTGAATTTTCCTTTAAATTGCAAATTGCACTACTGACATACTGTTTTATAATATTATCGGATTCATTGTTCTTATTTTATCATTTTCTCTAGTACTTCTTCATTAGAGATTAGTCCTATATCAATATCCTCCAATATAAGCACACATCACTTTTGTATGCATAATTAAAATAATTTTCATTTTAAGTAATAATTTATTCTATTCCTAATCTTAGCTTTTCTATCATTCATTTTCTTGTTATCAGAATCACTAAGTTTGTTTTTTTTTTCAATCCTCCACAATGTTTTATAATATGAGTTATTATAGTTATACAATGTACAGTTATTATAGTTAGGCAGCAGTTACTTACAATATTAATTCATATAGTATGCAAATATCAATACACTTCGAATATTAAAATTTGAACATCATACAGATAACGTGAAGATAGCTACATCTACAAATGATGCATGCATGACAAAACAAAACAAAATATAGATTCATAGATTGGTGTTTGGCAGTGTTGAAATTTACATTCAAATTGAAACATATGCAATAGCAAGAAGATATAAAACAATTAATAGTTTAGAATTATCAAAAAAGAAAAAGTAAATACATAGTTTGAAAACAATAGATAGTAAAATTTCAGTATAAATATTATAATAAAGTTAAAAAGACATCTGTTACAATCTGGCAACTGGTGGTTTTAGGTTTGTCAAATCTACCAAAGGGTATTTGCCAAAAAATTTCTAATTAACTGCAATTAATAACATATTTATTCATTTGTGTTTTACATAAATAAAAAAATTGCCGAATCCATAAAATAATATGATGAAAATGTTCTGTTTCAAAGCTTTCTGTGCATATTTGAGGCGTCCAAATTATTGTATTAGCATTTGTGTGACAGATTGCTAATTACTGGAATCACGATTCGAATCACTCTTACAATTAACCATTTAATCATCGTGAAATTGTATTATTGTATAACCATATAACATCCAGATTTAGAATGGGTAAAAAAACTGATTTTCACCAGAAAAAAAGGAGGCAATAGCTTACCTTATAAACGATTTGCTGTCGTCAATTTAAATCGTTACTAAACTAAATCAATTACAATATATCTACACACTGTTTATTAAATGATTCTACTTTGAATACTCACAAATTCAAAAACTTTGATCCCACCAACATGAAATATCAATTCAAACAGCTCGTCAGTAAATACAATGAAGTAGTTCTTTATGAATGAAACCCATTCGCATTCGGGTATAAAAAGTCAAGAGCAAGAGACCACAAGAAGATTCAGAAAGTGTAAATACATAGAAAAATATATTTTCATCAAATCAGTTGAAAAATAAATAATAACCTAACCTAACCCTCTTATCTATATCTATGATAATTGACATAGGACAGGAATATGTCATATGTACCTAACTTCAGGGTTTTGAGGCAATAAATTAACCAATGACGTATAATATAGACTGAGCAGTCCGGTCGATGACGTAAAATATAAGGATAATCATTTTTTAATAAAACAGATGTTAACAAATGTTTCTCCTCCAAGAACGAATTATAAATTATCCTTTATCGTTTATAAATAAGGAATTTTCAACAATCGATCGAATAGAGCAGAACAACTTAGAACGAGATCCTACAGCATACACAAGGAATAATATGAGAAAAATAACAATACCGTACATAAAAGGATTATCAGAAAAACTTAAAAGGATAGGAAATAAATTAACATTTCAACAACATTCAAAACAACAAACACGTTGAGATCTATTTTGTCCAAAACCAAACCTAACAATGAACAAGAAAGGACAAAGAATTGCATTTATAAAATACATTGTGAATGCGATCAGTTTTATTTAGGTGAATCATCAAGGCCATTAAATGTTAGAATAAGTGAACATCAATCTTATATTAAAAATAGAGAATGTGATAGATCTCAAATATGTAAACACGCATGGTATAATGAACATAGGGTTCAATGGAATAATTCAAATGTAGTCCTAAAAGAAACGGATGGTAAAAAAAGAAAAATCAAAGAAGCGGCTCTAATTATGCTAAATGAGGCCAATTGTGTCGCAAATTCCTCGGCAGAATGTAGTAGGATCTGGTTACCAATATTGAAAGAGGAAGTTATTAATAAGAAAATACCAGTATTAGTAAGTCAGTAACATATAGAGGATACATCATTTATGTTTTTTAAATAACGTAACATATAAAATCAGAATTTTGATGTTGAAGGTAAACTAAATTCACGAACAAATACTTACAATGTCGGGATAGCATTATGAAGTTTATTTTCCTCATAATTTACAATGGAATCGCTAACAGGATAATTTTACTGTCATCATGTCATGTGTTTGTCTTTTTAAAGACGAATTACATGCTATGATTTTTTTCTGACGGATATTCTCAAGTTAAAGTTGATTTCATGTAATCGAATGAACTATCTTATAAGTAAAGTCGTCTACTTTAAAATGCATAATGTATGTCTGAATTGTCAATATAAATGAGTCAGATAAAATTAAATTATTAGAAGAATTTTTCACCATGTAACAAAAAACAAAATTTGTTTAATTTACTGTTTGTAAATTAATTACTACTTATAACTGGGAATAAGCCACATTAAAGATAAAAATATATTTATTGACGTTTCAATTTCCAATTCGGAAATCGTTCTCAAAATACAAATAGTAAATTAAACAAATTTTGTTTTTGTTACATAGTGAAAAAATTCTTCTGATAATTTAATTTTATCTGACTCATTTATATTGACAATTCAGACATACATTATGCATTTTAAAGTAGACGACTTTAAAATGATATTGCCAATATTGTTGAGTTGCGCTCCTGGGACGACTTTACTTATAAGATAGTTCATTCGATTACATGAAATCAACTTTAACTTGAGAATATCCGTCAGAAAAAATCATAGCATGTAATTCGTCTTTAAAAAGACAAACACATGACATGATGACAGTAAAATTCTCCTGTTAGTGATTCCATAGTAAATTATGAGGGAAAAACCAGGAAAAAAACCTCATAATACTATCCCGACATTGTAAGTATTTGTTCGTGAATTTAGTTTACCTTCAACAAACATCAAAATTCTGATTTTATGTTACGTTATTTAAAAAACATAAATGATGTATCCTCTATATGTTACTGACTTACTAATACTGGTATTTTCTTATTAATAACTTCCTCTTTCAATAAGTTATTAATAAGAAAATACCAGTATTAGTAAGTCAGTAACATATAGAGGATACATCATTTATGTTTTTTAAATAACGTAACATAAAATCAGAATTTTGATGTTTGTTGAAGGTAAACTAAATTCACGAACAAATACTTACAATGTCGGGATAGTATTATGAGGTTTTTTTCCTGGTTTTTCCCTCATAATTTACTATGGAATCACTAACAGGAGAATTTTACTGTCATCATGTCATGTGTTTGTCTTTTTAAAGACGAATTACATGCTATGATTTTTCTGACGGATATTCTCAAGTTAAAGTTGATTTCATGTAATCGAATGAACTATCTTATAAGTAAAGTCGTCCCAGGAGCGCAACTCAACAATATTGGCAATATCATTTTAAAGTCGTCTACTTTAAAATGCATAATGTATGTCTGAATTGTCAATATAAATGAGTCAGATAAAATTAAATTATCAGAAGAATTTTTTCACTATGTAACAAAAACAAAATTTGTTTAATTTACTATTT